GAGTCTCTATCCCTTTTTACAGTAGCACTAAAATCTCTCTTGGAAATGTGAGGAAGAATAAATCTCTCACTTTCCCTCTCCTCTTAGAAATCTTAGAAACACTTACCACACTCTCCCATACTTTGATACTCACGCCCCCCTCACTCACACCATCTTTTCTAACATAAAAACACTCTTTTATAATGTAGGGATGAATTTCCCAAGAGTTCCATAAGCACCTCTTTAAAATCCATCCAAGCTCAAAGCATTTGCAAAAATAACCATCTCTGGTGCCTAGGCACTGAAATATAAGTGCCAATGCTCTTATATTTTCCAACTGCAGCGCCTAGGCGCCATATGCTGGTGCCTAAGTGCCAATGCTCCCTGAAACAGGCGCTTAAGCGTTAGTTTAGGTGCTTAGGCACCAGTGCACTTTTTTGCACCATTTCACCTAAGGTGCAAAATAACTCTCATACCTTCCATAAAATTGAATAATTAAAACATTTTTATGCATTTTCTTTAACATGTAATTCTCCAAAGTACAAACAATTTAATTTCAAGAGCTTATATTATGTAAAAATAATTACTCAAATAAATATGGGTTGCCTCACAAAGTGCTTGGTTTAACGTCGTCAGCCCGACATTCTCAATTTTTACTCTAGGTGACCCAATATTTAAACCTCTTTTAAAATTGGTCTGTGTCCATCAAAATAAGGTTTTAACCTATGTTCATTAATTTTAAATATTTTTCTAGTTTTTGATTTTTTAATATCTAAAACTCCATATGACTAAACTTTTTTAATAGTAAATGACCCTAACCACCTGGACTTAAGTTTTACAGGAAATAATTTCAATCTTGTATTATACAACAAAACTTCTTATCCAGGTTCAAATTCTTTTCTTATTATCTTCTGATCCTGCCAAAATTTCATTTTTCCTTATAAATCTTAGCATTTTCGTAAGATTCATTTTTTATTTCTTCGAGCTCATTCAGTTGCAATAATATTTTCTCATCATCATCTTTTAACTTAAAATTAAATTCTTTAGTAGCCCAATAAGCTTTATTCTCCCATTCTACTGATAAGTGACAAGTCTTTCCAAAAATAAGTCTACATGGAGACATTCGTATAAGAGTTTTATAAGTTGTTCTGTAAGCCCATGATGCAGTATGTAATCTAGCAGACCAATCCATTCTGTTAGGATTTATATTCTTTTCCAAGATTCTTTTAATTTCATAGTTAAATAGTTCTACTAGACGATTAATCTGGGGATGATAAGCGGTGGAGATCCTATGCTATATATCATATTTTCCAACTGATTTTTCAATTCTTTTATTCCTGAAATGAGATCCACCATCTATAATGACTACTTTAGGCATTCCATATCTTGTAAAAATATTTTTCATTAAAAATTTTTAAATACTTCGAGCATCACATCAAGGTAAAGCAACTACTTCGATCCATTTGGAAACATAGCCTACTGCAATTAATATATATAAATTTCTAAAATAGAGTACTAATTATTCTATAAAATTCAATCCCCAAATGTCAAAAATTTTGACTTCCAATATAAAATTTAGGAGCATTTTATTCTTTTTTGAAATATTTACTACTCGCAGACATTGATCACATATTTTTATATATGTATTAACATTCATAAATATAGTAGGCTAATAAAATCCTGATTGTAAAATTTTATAAGTTGTTCAACCAATTCCAAAATGTCCCCCAAATTCAGAATCATGACATTTTTAATTTTTTCAGTTTCTTCATATGGTACACATCTTCGAATAACCTGATATTTACATTGTTTATATAAATATGGTTCATCTCAAAAGTAAAATTTTGCATCATGAATAAATTTTTTCTGTTGTTGCGTTGTCGATCCATAGGTAAAAGATCACTAACAATATAGTTCACTATGTCTGCATACCATGGTACATGTCATTCATTAATAGTGTATAGATGTTCATCAGGAAAACTTTTGTTAATTTCACTTTCATAATTAAATAATTTTTCCTGTTCCATCCTAGACAAATGATACGTTATTTGATTATCAGATTCCTTCCAATCTACTATCATGAAATTAAATTCTTACATCGGAAGGATCCATCTATTTAATCTTGGTTTCACGTCCTTCTTTTGCATCGAATATCTTATAGCAGAATGATGAGTATGCACAATACATTTAGCTATAATGAGATATGATCTGAACTTATCAAATGCATAAAAAATTTCTAATAACTCTTTCTCAATATTGATATAATTAATTTAAGCTTCATTCAGAGTTATCCAGGCGTAATATATAATTTTCAAAATTTTATCATATCTTTGTCCTAATATAACCCCAATTGCTTAATCACTAACATCACACATTAACTCAAACGATTTCTCCCAATCAGGTGAAACTACTATAGAAGCAGTGATTAATTTTTCTTTTAATAATTCAAAGGCATTAATGCATTTTTTGTTGAAATCAAATTTTGCAACTTTTTCTAATAATTGGCATATAGAGGCTTATTAATTTTTAAAAAATCTTTAATATATCACATGTAGAAACCAACATGTCCTAAAAAAACCTCTAACCCCTCTGACTATAGTAGGAGGATGTAGTTTAGCTATAACTTAAATTTTCGGAAAATCTATTTTCATACCGTTTTTCAGAAATTTTATGTCCAAGTACAATTACTCCTGCAACCATAAATTAGCATTTCTCAAAATTTAATAATAAATTTGTCTTTTAAAATTGTTTTAAAACTTTTTCTAAATGATTTAAACATGATTCAAACAAAGTTCCGAACACATAAAAGTCATCCATAAAAACTTCTATTCCTTTTTCAATTAAATCACAAAATATAGACATCATACATTTTTGAAATGTTGCAGGTGCATTACATAAACCAAAGGGCATTCGTCTAAAAGCAAAAGTACCATAAGGACTAGTAAATGTTGTCTTTTATTGATCCTCATGAGCAATATGAATTTGGTGATAACCAGTATATCCATCTAAAAAATAAAAATATTTGTGCTCAGCCAGTCTATCCAACATTTGGTCCAGAAAATGTAAGGAAAAGTGATCTTTCCTATTGACGGAATTTAATTTTCTATAGTCAATACATATTCGCCAACCAGTGACATGTCATTATAATACAGATCTGTCAGTGATAGAGTGAAAACTATAATTCTATCACTGACAGATCTATATTAGAGCCTATGAGTTCTTTTGAGGCTTCTGGGCACTGACAAAATGCTCCACAAATATCCACTTGAAATCAATAAACGATGTGATTACCTTGCAGTAATCCAATGAACCGCCCGAGGGCACGCATCGTGATAAAGAAGAGACGACATTTCAGTGTGTCAGTGATTCTTTATAAACACATATCGACCCAAACGAGGCAATGTGGTCAGTCAGATCAATTCACCACTCATTGAATTCTAGCATTGAAATCTTGGATCGCTCTGGGGTCTCGACCTTAGAGATTTGCTAAGAGAACACATTCTTGAGGCTGTCCGTGCACCTCAATACGACTGATCTAATGTTGATCGATTGGTGCCGACTCAACACTATCAAAATATTGGGAGCCATCTTCTCTTTGCAAGGCTAGAGGGGCTCTTCTATCATTTGATGGTGACCCTTCCTCTCAGGGGGTGTTGATCTCTTCCTTGAGTGAATGCATTTTGAATGACATCCAACATTTGATCCTTTAACTCCTAGATCTGTTGAGTTAAAAATTCTCTGGTGCACTTCTTCTTATCAGTATCTATGTTGTGGGTTTTTTTTTCTTTCGAGTACTCCTTTTCTTGTTTGTGACATGATTCACTCTCACCGCATATTTTAGGATATTAAATCCTGATTTGTTGGTGAATCACACCCAAGAAATCGAGTATAAGGAGAGAGAGAGAGGAGTGAATAGTAATGAACGATAATATGTCGTGATCAATCGTATCTTATTAATAAATGATTCTCCTCTTTATAGAGGAGAGTGTACAATAAGATTATATTACGTTTTGCCCTTTCTTTAAAGATGTTTGTACTTAGATATTTCTGGTATTTCACATATGTGGTTCTATCATCTAGCTACTTTCTAACTTGGTTGATTAACCTTAATCGATTTTGGGTAGGTAGGATCAATTCTGTTTGCTGAGCTTGTTTGATACGACTCGACTGTCAATCCTTAATCCTTGATAAAGAACCTCTAGGCTCTCTTGTGATTGTTGAAAATACTAGGGAACATAATCTTCTCTCAGATTGGCTCTCATGTGATAGTTGTCTCAGATACTCTTTTGCTTGTTCCTGGCTTAGTAGCTCGTTCTTGTATTCTTCAGTCTTCTTTGATCCATCTCGTGCTTTGCTCAATTCTACCTTTGCTGACTTAGCTAGGACAATTCCACTCAATCAGACAAGACAACATTATCTTTTGTCAGTGTACCCTCTTTCATCGCACTCTTCTCTTCTGGATCATTAGATCTCTTTTATACGAGCGCCGACACATTTAAATATATCAAATATGTTTGAGCTTGAAAGATTTTTTTATTTTATTATTTAAATTTAAAAATTTTTACATACACATCACTCAAAACATACAAATTTCTATATGTCACACTTAAACTCTTGTACATACAGAATAAACACCTTAAACTCATAAATACACACGAAATAAGTACTCTGATCTCCCTCTCCTACTTTGGCCGATTGGAAAAGCAGGGGAGGATGGCAAAGCAGACAGTAAAACCTATCGTTCTCCTCTCTCTTCCCGTCATCGTGAAAAACAACCACTCGCAACAATTGCCTGACACAGCTCTTGATCGTCGTCAAAACCACCATTAAATTTCACAGAAGATAGAAGAAACTGAAGTGCCTCATCCAAACACCCTGGTAAATATAAGAGAATAGGTGCGATATATGTAAATTCCTATGTATGTAAAAACCTCTTCAATTTATCACATAGATCCATCTGTCTGAAGTCGAATTTCTTAAAGGGAAAAAAAAAAAAAAAACAAAAACTCTGTAATTGTCGGAATTGTCGGACTAACCCACCTAGCTCATCTTGATCTGCGCCCGGAATCAGATTACCAGTAATTATGGTAGCCTAAGGAGGAAACCGACGGATTGTAGGAACATAATACGATGTTTCAACGAGTAATTGCTCTCTCTTCACACCACTACTGAAATGGACGAACGCAGACGAACAGAATGCCACACAAACACACACCGAAAAAGCAAAAAAAGGCCGTCATCCGATGCTACATGCCTTCATCACTGGGACAGCTGCTTGCCTCTTCGCAGGCCCTATCAATGGCTGCTAAGCCATATACCAACTCTTCGACGGATTTTTTTCCCTTGCGCTTGGTTCCAGAACGCTTTGATGCTTCGCCCTTATTGCTTATCATCTTAGCTCTGTCGGAGGTGCAAGAAGAAGAGATCGGAGCATTCTCCTTCGCCGCTTCCTTCGCAGAGTTATTGTAGATGGTCAGGATAGAGACGATTGGACATTCATGCCAGCCGAGGGAGGCGATGTCTTTCATGACTTCGTCCAGAGACAGCTCCGCATCGGTGGAAGATCTCAGCGGGCATTCTTCGATCGTCGATCTGCCCGGAGGTGTCAGATCCACCGTGCGCAAAACATCCAGTAAGCTTGACTGAAATCAATGATTCAGAGAAATCAATGTTTCAATTAGGAGAATCAAGCGGAAAATCGTTTCAAGGAGACTGACCTTCTTGATGTTCTGAACCTTTAACCCATTAATGCGTGCGATCTGGAAGATAAAACGATTCAAATTTTAATTGGAAGAAAGGGGGAACAAATAGAGAAGGCAGATACCTTGCAGAGGGAAGGCCTGGTTAGCTGAAGCTCTTCCTCCTTGTTGAAGAAACGCGCGTAATCTTCGAGGCAAAGCCCGTTCGTTTCTCTCATCCCTCTCTTCCTCTATCTCTACGACCGGCTACTGCTCTCCGACTCCCGCTTATGTAACTTTCAGAGACGCGAGCGTTTTGCAGTTTGTCCGTATGATAATTAATGATTGAGATTAAAAATGGTCTGTTTGGGGCTGATAAGCAGCTTATCCTGATAATCTGCTGATGACCAGCTGATCCGGATTAGTTGTCTGACTGTTTGGTTAACGCGCCTGGAAAACAGCTGATTGTGAAAAATTGACCCTTTTGCCCCTGATCTGAATAAGCAGTTTAGCTGTTTGGTTTGTGCGTTTTGTAAACAGCTTATTTGTAAATTTTTTGAGTTGAATGAATAATCTGTGTAGCAGAATGTTATTTTCTCAGATATCTAGAAATGAAATTGCAAAAAAGTTTAATAATATTTATATAACTCAAAAAAGTTGTGATTACATCAAGAAAACATAGTGATATAAAGGAAAGTTCAATACATATTTATGAAACTCTAATATGGATTATAGAAAGACCCAAAAAAAAAGAAGAAATAACATGTTAAAATTACAAGAAAAAATATGACAATATTGAGTTTGACATGTAAAGTCACATCATGACGAATGTTGCCCGTTTCTGATACCTCTAATCCCCGAGCAAGCGTGTCTTGATGGGGTGCGGTATACACGGAAGAACTCGAACCATATGCGGTGGTCTCCTGTTGTGGTACTCTCGAACTCCTAGTACCTGTGTCCAATTGGGATATCGTAGAAACAGTTCTATTATCCGTCCACTTGAAGAATTTACAGTCTTCAGGTCCTTGTCCCCACCGCGGGCACCTGTAAAATTGCCTCCCGTAGCTATGTGTCTGGCGTGACGTTAACAGCAACGACGGTAGTCCGCAACGACACATCACTATCTC